TCGTTGGTTTTTAAGAAAATTTGGCTAGGTATGGGTACAGGGCCCTTCGTCGTTGGGGATTTCCCAAGTGGCGTCGTATTTGGTCGCTGCGGAAAGGGGAGGGGTCGTAAATATTCTTTTATTCCGTATTTATTCCTCTGTGAAAATTTTTTAGATAACTGATTTTCTTGTTTACCGACTGGTATAAGGGGGGGGGTCTATTTGCGGGAAGGAGCGTATTTTCTGAAAATTTCCCCCAAAGTTGAGACGTGCCCAGGAAAAAAACGACAAGCCGAAACCGTAAAAAGAGGAGGGGATCGTATCGGACCACCTTCTATGAGGAGGTCGTACGGAGTCGACCAAAATCCCCAACTCATGATGTGTCCTGCTTGGGCAAGGCGGTGGGTGGGCCTGGAGGGGTCGCAAAGAACGGGGAAATTAGAGCTCCTATTTAGCAAAAATTTTCCACAGCGAGGTGGTGCAACCTGCTTGGGGTTTCTCCCGGAAGTCTTTTTCATGCGCTGTGGACCATCGTGGACTGATTCATTCTCGATGACTCCGGCAGTTTTGACGGACAAATGTCTCGGTTTGTTCGAGACTACAGCATACGGTTAGCCGGCGATCATCAGCAGATGGTTGTCTGTCGTTCTGCGTCACCGATCCATCCTCGAGCCCCTCTACGATCTCATCCATCTTCGAACCTACTCGACGCTCTCCCAAACACACATACACACGTCCACATGCACATAATTCTCATTTGTATGCTATCATGTACCCAGATTTATGAATTGCCTTCTCTTGTCTTTCAAATTCAAATTTATGGCCGCGAGACGCTCCTTTCTTCTCAAGTGCCAATCCATCATTTGCTTGACACCTGTTTCTCTCGCCTCGATACCTGGTCAAGTTCCACAGGTGAAGATCTTACCTGGTTCAGGAGTTTCACCAATATTTCTTTATGACTCGTCCTTTCCCATCTTGCTTAGAAATCGCACAAACATAGAAAATCAGAGGAACACGACCAAAAAATATTTCTTCATTTTTGCTAACTGCTCTCTATGCGTTTCTTGAATAATGAAGATTTTGAGTCGCAAGCAACTTTACTGTTAGTATCATTACCTTTTTTTGCAATATTGACCAACCACTCTCAAGTTTTACTTTTTGAACAGCTGCTCCGGTCGCTAGTTATCTGGGGGGGGGAGGGAACTTAAAGGACTCCCAATTAAAGTTGGTATTACCGTAATGCTGCGAGCGATTGCGACAGTAGCTGAGTAATAACTGTTGCTTCCCCGTTCTAGCGTTTGCGTAAGCCGTCGTCCGAACCCATTTGGACTCTATAACCCGAGCACCAAGTCCATCCGCTTCCTTCTCTGTGTGGCAGATGGGCGAGTGCAAGATGAACTTATCGACCTGAGCATGAAAGAAAAGAAGGCGCTGGAACGGTGCCACTGACACCTTTATAACCGGTTACGATGAAGGTTTTTTTTGTAGCCGAAAAAGCGATTTGAACTAGTTCACGCCTTGTCGAACTATCATTCATGTACCGGCGAAATGTAGAGCTTTTCTGGTACTTTTCACTCCTCTGTCTCTTTTATATATTGCTTATTGACTGGTACTGTCTCGGTTCATTTCTTAAGTGAGTCACTAAGAATGGGATCAATATGGAGTAGCTAATTGAGGTTTATCGAATATACCCTCAGAGGACAGTTGGCGACCGAAGCAGAGCGCTAGTCACTTTGAATGGAGCATTTAAAGGATTCCTTTGCAGAACTGGAGTGTCTGCAATAGAGATGAGGGCTTTTAATCGCATGTCTAAGGGGTGGGCTGGACGAGAGAGGCACTGTGGAGTGGGGGAACCCATTTCAAGCATGGTAATCCCAGTGGCGTTACGAGAATTGCACTTGTGCACAATCAGTTCTTCATTTGCCTCCCCCTCCAAGGCAGCTGGTTCATAAATCCTGCCTAATTTGTTTTGAAACAGTAGTTTCGTTTTCGTTTAGAAACAGTAGTAGTCAGAATGGGTGAGAATAGGCAACTAGACTACGGTGAAGGGAATCATGAGGGAAGAGAGTGAATTTTAAGCAAAGTAGGCTGCTTTAAGCTTGTTGGTTCAATTTATTATTTTGATGTTGGTTAGAGAAAATGAATATCGGACTACCCCCCCCCTCAGTGGACTTCCAAGAAACCTCTTGTCGCCTTCATCTTTTAAATCAGATTCTTCTCCCGAAAAAAAGGAAAAGGATCCCAAAATAATCCATGGAAGAGTGACATTTTCGAAAACTTTGATTATGTCGCTATTTCCCGTGACACCCAAAACCTTGGATAAGCTTTTCGGCAGAAACAACCAGGTTTCAGTTGATGTTCATGGTTTTTCCATTTATGCTACTTGTAACGGTAAGGGTTCAAAATCATCCAATCACATCTACTCTCCCAGTTTTGACTGTCATTGTCGATCCACGATGCGAATTCCTGCAAGTGAGCACCCGTTCCTCCACAAAATGTCATTGTAGTGGTTCCCACAACGTCCTTGCACCATACGGTTTAGGCGACTTTTTTTGAGCTTCTTGCCGATTCCCATTACTCCGCAGCCCACCCTCTCTCGCACTCCCCACTCACATTACTCCCGCTGAGGAACACTTGCCAAAATCTAAGCTTTTATCTACATTTTTGCCTAGTTGTAGGCAGTTCTCCTTCCCTCCAATTAATTTTGCTCCCGAATTTCGGCTCATGGCCGCCCTCACAAAACTCGAAGGTCTGGAAAACCCGTCTGTGATCCAACTTTTCCTACGGAATTTGGAAGCATTAATTTTCTATGGATAATTTTCCTTATGATTGTCCAATCATTAGTCCCTTATTTACTATAGTTGTAAAGCGCGCACTCTAGTACACGCTAGTGCGCTAGGGGAGGGGGGGGGATTTAAAAGTGGGTGACCTTTAGAGGGTGATCCCTGAGCAGGACTGGGATTGTCATGATGGAGACAGGGTACAGCATCGTTGTGTCAAACCCATGGGGGGGGGGTCGTACTTTTGCTCTGTTGAGGGGGGGTCGTACTCACACCGACATTTTGCACATCCCCATGCTGTACCCTGGATGGAGATGAGTATTTGGGGGAAAGGGGGGGGGGCTAAGCCTGGCGGAAAGGAGCTGCGGAATGTGTGGGCTAATCACAGCATAAGGAGTCCTTTGGATGCTCTTCTTCCTGCCCGCTGAATGACTTCAAGTTCAAGACGGTCAACTTCCATTCCATTCAAATTCTTAACAGTTCTTGTCCAATTCTGACGTCATTATCCTATCGTTTTGGTAGTTTTCTACTACAGATACCCTGTTCTTTTCTGGGAACTTCCTCTAAAAAACCTGCCGCATGCCGTGAAGCGGCGAGTTCTCCATGACTCCGTGGGAGTGACCGGGTGTAGTTCATATTCGTGTTTCTGCGATTGCAGCGGAAGATTCTTCGGAAGCGATGGCACACGCGCGGCAATCTCATCAGCACCCCAATGATTCATTGTGGGAATGATGCAGTATGTCTGACCTTTCAGATAGGAACACCTCTTGTCTCGGGCGTCTTCGCTGCCCCACTGATCGCGCGAAGCTGGCACTCGACTGCAGGTTGTCTTCTCAGACATACTGCAGTCGAATTCTTCTCTAACCATAAGATGCGGCAGACGTGGCTGCGTACTTGTTTGAACACTAGGGCAGCTGTTCTTCCAGAGATATTTTCGTTTTGGGACACTTGTAATCACACGTCTTTGCCCACCACAAGACAAGAATGAGGCAGCCGTGCTCACGTTGAATACGTCTTCACGAAATTGGCCCAGTATCATTCAAGTAAATTACGTAGACACTCCTACTGCCTCTCAGGGTTATGAGGTGTATGTTGACACCTGATTCCATCTTTCTGAAAAGCCCTGTTTGTTCCAATCTGAACCCTGCAGTCTGCCGAGTCCATATCGAAGAGATTGAATAGTGGACCAGTTTAGCAAGCAGGTTGGGACCAGGAGCGTTCAGTTCTTATCCCTGCAACGGAGTGGGCGTGGCATTTGAGCATGGCACAGCTCGTGGGATATTCCAGTTTGAGGCAAATGTCACATTGTTTTGTATGCGAGAATAATTGGCGCAATCTGAAGGTACTCGTCGAAAAAGCACAGCGCAGGCCACTGTAGTTAAGTAGCGCAGCCACGCCTGCCCACATAGGGATTTTGAGTGTAATGAACAAGAGGAAAAGACCGGAACTCTGAGGGGGATAAAATGGTGAAAAATGTCTCAATCTGTTTTCGCTGGCCAAAGAAGTATGGAAAGTATTGTTAATAGCTTCTAGCAAAAAAAAAACTGCTCTATTTTCTGGGGATTATGAGGCGTTCGTGTACCTTCGCTTATAACGCCGCGACTATTCCTTCTGGTTTTCCTTTTGTTTATTTTTTGTTTGACTCATTCTTCAGTGAGAAACATAACAGAATGGTTTTGAAATCTATTAAGAAGACTGAAAGGTACAAAAAAAATCGGAAAAGCTATTGAAGGGCTGAAAATTTTCGCGCGTATTATCGCGTGCGTCTGTGCGACTCGTGGTGCAAATGAAAGCGCCGTGTATACCCCAGAAGGGCTAATTAAGAAGCGGTTTCAATGGTGGATACGGGAGAGGTATGTATAAAAGAAGGAAAAGGCACGGCTTGCATCTCGAATCAATCAGCAACGTTGTGTATTAATTTATTCGCATATTTTTCCTTCGAAAGGCTTTGCAACCCTTATGAATATTTCTGCCCTTACAGGTGAAGAATGTGTCCGACTCGGCATTGAAGTCACGAAAAGGCGGCAAGACACATTCACTGGACGATTACGAAGACTACGAGGTTAGTTATCAGCCTGTTCTTCCGATGTTCTACGTTCCAACGTCACGCCCTGCTTGTAGTTGATGGATCGAGGACGCCTTCCAGACGAAGAGGACGCCGATCTGTTCCGAGTACCGGATACCGCTGGTGGAGCTGGTTTCGTGCCATCCGGTTCAACTGACAGATGGCTAGATGGTACAAAGGTGTGTTACGCTTCATTTCGGATGACATGACGATCTCTGCTGAACGGACTTTTTTCAGTACCGTGTCGGGGACTGCCTGCCGTACCGTGGAGAGGCATGCCGGCAATTCTTGAGTGGGCGGAGTGTGATGATGACAAGTGAGAGTCGAGAAGATATGTATGATATTGGTGAGTCATCATACCATTTGTAAGATTTTTTAGACTTTTCCGCCAACGCCCACGGAACAGGTTCATGTGGCGTTTTCGTAT